CCTAGATGTGTAATACTCCACTCATCTAACCTAAACCTAACCTAAACCTAGACGTGTAGTACTCCACTCATCTAACCTAAACCTAACCTAAACCTAGATGTGTAGTACTCCACTCATCTCTATTTATATCGTGTTTATTTTGGCAGATGAAAAACACTACAAAAATTCTGTTCACTGTGCAATATAAACGCAAATTATCGATATACGTATGCAGGGAAAAACATTTAGGAACTAAATTGAAAATCTCAAAGAAAATCTGTCATTATTATTGAGATAAATATAACTCCTATCCACATAATATGCGCGTTGCACACAAGACCTTGCCACCTCATTTAAAGAGGAATTGTTTGAGACCTGTACATGCGTAAGTGGGCTTTGAAATGTTGTACAGACGAACGCTATTTTATCTAAAAATGGAAACACGAATTTTTTCACGGTTCCAGAGAGAACCTTGTTTTCAAAGGACTCGTTTCTCCAATGAACATTCACTCGAAATTCGTCCATGTATTGAAATTTTAACGATTATTACGTCTTCATTTGAAATTTAAAAATATGCATGCCCATTCCGACGAGGCGTAATTATTATAAATGGACGATCGAATTTCATTAAATATTTCCAGAGGAGATCTTTAATAAAACGACAGTATTAGATTACTATCTCGTAATATCGAACACAATTACAGTGGCATAATAAAATTCTTTTATGAAGCGGTTAATTAATTCGAAATTAAAAAACTTTTCCTTCTCCTCTCCATTAGAGACTTACTTAAATGCTATTGATTGACTTCTTTTCAAGAAATTCATAAACAAGGGGATTTTAATTATTATCTCAGAAAGTTTTACCTTTAGTTGTTAAAAGAAAGAATTTTTATTCAACTCCTCTTATTTCACAATGATTATGTATCCAGATAAAATTAATTTGTAATTTCATAGCTGTATTTAATTTTAATTCCAATCGATAAAATCGCACGTGGCCACGTGATTCCGATAGATTATGACAAGAAAGAGGCCCCCCCCCTCTCGTACAACTGAGTTCACATTATCAGTGAAATTTTACAGGATAACCTGCAACTTGTCTGTAATATTATTTATAGTTATAAATCACTCCAAGAGTACGATTTGAACACTTAAATATATGTTTATCTTTTTATTGAGAATTATTAATATAATAATTCTTCTTGGCATCAATCATTGGCAACACCATTGTGATGCCATTCGAAAAATCAGAAAGCCAAATAATATCGACAAATGTATTAATCATGTGATGTATTTATTTACTCACGTGTTTATTCCTTTGTGCGCGATACGAGACTGGTATCACAGCTGGAAGTACTTTTCCAAAACACATAATTTCTCCAACAGTTCCAAGAATTATGTCCAAGCATACAGATGCGATTCGACTTGTCGTTGCACTGGCATCTTCACTATTGCGAAATTTGTAGTGAAAACAGTGACGCGAGGCATTATTCGATTCTCGAAAATCGAAGTGTATGGTAGTCGTGCTAATTTCATTGAGATACATAACCTAATAACTGCGTAGCATGTTTACTGTTATTCTATATCTTTACATACCATTATATATTAATTTCGTTTAGCTACTGCTATAATATTATTATAATATTAATACGCTCGACTTCCCGCCGGCATCCTTACAATTATGAAGTTTGTTGTGTGACGTAATCATTCGATTGTTGAAGATCGAACCGTTTAATCGCATTAATTCCGTTGAGGTAAGCGTGTAATCCAGTAATTGCGTGTTTTCATTGTTACTTTATACTATTATCTATTAAATTTGCTGACTACTACTTTTACTTGTTAAATTATTCAATATTGTTTGTAATACTATATTGTAATATATTCGACTTGCTTGCAGCATTCCCACTATCGAATTCGATTCTCGAAAATGGAAGCGTATCGTAGCCGTACCAATTCCATTGGGATACGTAACCCATTAATTGCTCAGTATGTATACTGTTATTCTGTTTTTGTACACTATTCATTAATTTATTTATTAATTTCGTTTAGCTACTGTTACTGTCATTATAATATTAATACGCTCGACTTCCCGCCGGCATCCTCATTATGTATTTATCTAGACGAAGTATACAAAGTAGACGTAATGTGACGTAACGAGTTCGATTGTTAAAGATCGAACCGTTTAATCGTATTAATTCTGTTGAGGTAAGCATGTAATCTAATTATCGTTATTCTCATCGTATTAAGTTTGTTTTAATTACTTTAAATAATTGTAATTATTTACTTTATTTGATTATAATATTTTCCTACGTTAACTTATGAAATATTACCTTTAACAGTAACATATTCGACTTGTTGACAGTATTCCTATTACGAAGTTTGTGGACGAAACGATGGTACCATTCAATTCTTGCAAATCGAAGTTTAATTCGTACTAATTCCGTTAAAGTATGATGACCTGTTAATTGCGTGGTATTTTCACTGGCACTTCGTATACTGGTACAATTAGGTTTGTTTAGTTATTACTGTGTTTAATTGTTAATGTATTAAATATTGCTCCAATAATATTAAGTAGCCTTTTTTCTTCGGTTATATCTTTACTCGGTCATTGAAATTATCGATAGCTTTTAAAACAGATTATTGATTATCGCGTGTTTCATTTATAATAATTCACATTCTGTTACAGATATCTTGGTGATGTTTCCACTTTCACTATGGAATTGAATGGATTTCCCGTGATAACGAAGATAAATCTTGCGATTTTCTGGGCTATTACTACGTCGATGGCAACGTTCTCCTCATCCAGCCGTGAGTTTTCGTTCGCATTTTGTATCACGTAGAATTTTTCTACGAGCATAGCGATATTTATTGTACTACTAAATAATAACATTTTTCTTACCGTTTGGATAACTAATGATGATAAATAATATACAATTTTATTTCATGCCTCTCAATTCTACTAAATCTCATCACTCAGTTTATATAACTTGAATAAAATTTGAAGTACGAGGATATCAAGGTTTAATTTTATCCGTCCAAGAATATATCTTTCACGTGCAAGAAAACACTTCGTGACAAGCGGATTTCAGAGTCAAAGCAAGGGTTTCAAACGTCACTCTTGTATGTTCAAAGATGTGCTTTGATGAAAGGATCGCCCGAGGATACTGCCAACAATTCTTGTTGTTACATCTATTGCTCGAGCATTCACGTCGTCGTCATTGTATGCAATTGCATTATCTTTCGCTGATAATTTGCAAGTTATTCTTTATCTCGCGACTAGAAAAGCTCGAGTCCAAATTTAAGCTTTATTGGGCTAAGGAAAGAAGAAGCTATAAGCGAAAGGAGCCTGGCAGATTGTCATTGAAAAGGACAACTACTAATGGCTTTCTATCCAAAGAATGAGAAGTCATTATTGTTATTACTTCGTCACTATGCTTGTCCTGCATATTTATAGTAATTGCAGCAGTTCCAGTAGTAGTAGTCTGTTTCTTGGTCGACGTAAATGTCGATCCATATGAGGCGAAATTGCCATGTCTTTTTATCGCGAGTAATTAATTAACGGCTCAAGTCTCTTGTCTTGAAGTGAAGTTGCGACAGAATGTCAATTTCAGTGCAAATTAGAGTCGCGGTGAAGTGGCCGTATTTGCTTCGCTCTTGCCATTTACTGCGATTCCTTATCGCGTGTTTCATCGCGAATTGTTAAAATTGTTAAAAGGAAAAAAGAATTCTTTCGCAGCGAAAGATTTTATGGCTGTCATAAACATTTTCATTCGTACGAGATAAGTGAATTTTTATCGAGTTCAAAAATAAATCCAATTTTTAGTCGTTCTTAGTCTTCGTACTTCGCGTTTCATTTGGAGAGTTTCACTTGATTTTATAATTGCATTAAGCGAATTAAATACTGCAAAATGAAGGAAATATTCCACTCACGTTTTGCTGTTCTGAACGTTTGTTTTTGAATATACCACTGGATAAGAATAAATTATAATAATAATGAAGAAAATAGTAATCAGTTCTAATTTCGACTTTATGAAAAATATATTTATGGAGATTAGACACGGGGACATTTAAACCGAACAGTTTCAATCGAGATCTCCTCTATTGTATCTTATTATTCAAAATGAAATATGCCTGGCTCAATTCCTGGCTCAATTTAAATTTAAATTCAAACTCACATTACTAACAAAGTTCAAACTCCAATTGCTTTGAATGCTGATGCTTTTCGATTGGACAGGTATGAATTTACAATTAGACAGACATATAAAACAAATAACAAAATAGTTGCAAATTTTCTTGTAAAAGCTCGCCTCGTTAATTAAGTAAACATTCAATTACATCTCATATAAGTACGTGCAAGTGATTTTTTAATTATTATTCTTTGATCTTCTGTTTAAACGATCAGATATTACAGATACAATTTTTAAAAAGAAATTTTTAAATTCTTAATACCAGGGAGGTATTAAGACACACCTTAAATTCTTAACAAGACAGGGCTTTTAATAAAACAAAAGAAAGTTTCAGATTTCTGATAGGTAAGATTTGAAAGAGATTTATGACATTGTAAAACTTCTATACAAATAAAATCTAGAAAGAGAAATCTTTTCGTAGACAGAATTTATAAAGAAAGAAGTTTTTCAACAACAAAATTTCAACTCTGTATTCCTGCAAAAATTTTAATATTTCATGAGAAGAAAATGGAAATAACGTTTGATAAAATTTATAATATTAAATTTACTTTGAAATAAAATTTATTTTAAACCTAAACTCAATATAAACATAATACAAAAATTATAATGATCATAAAATCAAAAAATTATTTCGTTGCAAAATTAAATGAACAAACCTCATCAGTTGCTTCTTTCTGCGACTTCTAATTTTTTTTCTTTTTAGGTATTTCTTCTTTTCTCTTTGATAATCAAATGACAACTCCTGTTATTTTACTATTATTTATTTCACAAGCTTCGTCAACCATACTTTTCTCTCAGTTTCAAGAACGTAAAATGAGTTCCCATCTTTACTTCGAAAAGTAAATATTTGACATGAAAATATTTTACATATTGATGCCTGGTACGATTATGAATTACATAACATTTTTATATAATTAAAAGGATTTAGTACGTTCTTAAGATTCATTTTTTTTCTTTCAAATTAATCAAATGAATATATCTTCGTGAATCAACTAAATGAACTCGGTTATATCGCTTATTATTAAAATTAAAATTCTGGAATCTGTAATTACAGATATTTCGTATAAGTCGTACGAAGAAAAAAGAAAATCCTCAGTGAAGTATCGTGTTCTCTAATTTGCTCACGTGTCTCGTGATTGTGTCGCGGAATGCATCGTGTATAGTTGATAAAAATCGATGGACTATTTTTAGTTTTATGTCCAAATTACATAAACAACGAGCAACGCGTGTCTTGTTCACGAGGGATGATTCATAACTGCTATCCATAAGCAGTAAAAAAAAAGAAAAAAGCTGCTAATTGACGTAAAACATAGTTTCTCCATTACACGTGACGAAAGTTTGATGATAACTCGCGTACTGATTCAATTTAACAGTCAAAGTAGCAACTAGATGAAAATAATTTTTTACCTTTCGAATTTTCTTACTTTTTGTCACAGATATTATTTTTTGGAATGATTTCCTCTCAGCTGGAATATTTACGATAAGAAATGGGCTTCCTGCATTTCCAAAAACTTTTTCGTTCGTTGCACGAGAATCCATTACCGGTATTAACCTACGTTGACGATCTTTATCGGGCGTATAGAAAGCACGATCACAGATATTTATCGACACAAGATGAATAATATCTCGATACCCTGAATAAATTAGCTTGTGCACATATTTCATCCGCACGAACTTCT